GGGGGGGGTTATGTAGAAAAAATGCAGTTTTCTGTTGTCTATGAAATTAGAAAAATTATCGTCGTTTTGTGCAAGGGTGGCGTAAGATTATTGCAAATCTTCATGTCTTCCGTCCCGTTTTTGCTCATGTCTCGGAGGCAAAATGAGCAAGAACGCTCATTTGTACATCATTCTAGAGAGAAATAAATGGCTTTTTAGAAAGTGAACCGTAGATGTGGAATTGTTGGCAGTTTTTTCAAAAAATGCTTGAATTCAAGAAGTTTTAGATTTGCGTGTTTTTTTTTTTTTTAGTTGCAAAATCCACTTGAACATGACGCTGCTTTTGTCGAAGTTTCTCAAGAACCATTCAAGCCAGATAATTCGTTTTGGCATCGTTGGATAGAGAATTGAATGGGGGGGTCATGACCCCCATGACCCCCTCCTGGATCCGCCCTTGAGTCCACACCTGCATTATCAGGCTGCAAATGGGGCAAATTTCAAATAAATGGGCAAAAATGATTGATTTTTCAGATGATCTTCAGAAGCTTCAAACTTGCGGACATGGGAAAAAAATATTGAGAAAAAAAATTGGAAAAATTTACCTAGATCCACTTACTAATTGATTTAAGAAACCTTCAAACTGGAAGAAAGCACTGAAATCTGCAAACGTCTGCAAGAAACAGGCTTTTTGCATTATGAAATCAAACTGGGATGAAAAAAATTTTGAAGGTGCGACTTTTGGAGTACCGAATGTATAACATAAAGTGGTAGCGACTACAACAATTTGGTCAAGACAATACATATATGATACTGAGTTGAAGAATGCCGTCCCGCCACTGGCTAAAAGCCCCATAAATTCCATCTTGGATCTTCATCTTCCGACCATTTAGCATCAACGCATCGAAGACGAAGAGTAAAAATTTGAGCCGCGCGATTTGCGATTTTACCATTTAGCGTCGTCGATAAATTACGCTTTGTGGAAGGGTCGTAAGCCACTCGCTACAATGGAAGTAATTTTCCTGTTGTTAAGATTATTGGCGGCATTTTTAAAAGTTATACGTCTTCCTTACTGCTGGGTACGCGGAATGTGCGTAGAGTAAGCGAATGGAAGTCGTCGCAAAATCGCTACTTACCAGCAGGAAGAAACGCCGAAGAAAATGTATTATTTCCATTGTCATAAAGTGCTGCACGAACATAAACCAAATGTATTTATTTTATTTATTTTTTACCAACGCCATTATCTCAGACTCAGATTCATACTAATAAAGCTAAAGTTAATTAAGGCGCTTAATTGATAACAAGTGGTTATTAAAAGTACCAAATGAGGATGTTCGTAATTTAATTCCATACTATACGTGCGTCGAGGCGCGGTATTTTAGCGGAACTTGAAGGACTTGCAGTTTAATTTATGTGTAAATATCGCATTTATGTGTGTGTGTGTGTGTGTGTGTGCAGCCAATGTTATTTGATTGATTAGATAGTTCTCAAAAGCATTATAAATAATTGTTTGTTGCCCCAAAAATAGCGCAAACATGCTGGAAGGCTTTCACTGCTAAGTCATTTCAAGCCCTTTACATTAGCATTTCCATATTTGTATATGGAGAGTCACACTGTGGAAGATTTTGAGAAATAATTACTTCAAACACCCGGTTCATTAATTTTAAACTGTTAAAGTCCTGCTAACTGGTAATGGTTACATTATGACTTTTTCAGAATTCCAGAAACGTTATGGACCGTTTGGTTGAGTATGGCCCCTGAGCTGCTTGCGGGAATTCAACAAAATGTTATTTAAATAATTTCCTCACTATTTAATTGCCTTGTAGAAAAGCGAATTTATGCGATATTTGAAACTGTCTTCTTACCAGACTAAGAGTTATTTGATTTATTTGCTCTTAGGCTAACATGACCATTAATGAGCAAGATGATCGCTTTTTTTTAAATACTAGTAATGATACTGATTGAAACTCGCTAAGCTAAACAGAGACAAACTCAACACTCAGCAGAAATCAGGGAAAAGCGCCAACAGCAGATCAATGCAACTTGAAAAAGGGAAATTTTGTGGGCTTCGTAAAACCGAAAATTCATTTTTAGAATAGGGAATCTTAAAATAAAAAAGTCAGTGAAATCTAATAAGAAAACACTGCCTGAAGACAAGTGGCAAGATCAAACTTATAGAATCAGGCTGAAAATCCACCAATTTTCGATTGCAAATCCAAAAGATCCACCCAAATTAATCCCTGAGAACCTTTCTATACATTGTCCATGGAGCATCAAAAGAGTTGCGTACATTATTATAGCAGCACTTACAGGCAGAGCCTGGTTTTCGAATTAGTAAACCAAAAAAAATGTTTTCTTTTTTACCGTTTTAGTCAAATATTGCACCAAAAAAATGGTAGAAACTTGACTAGAAGTAACATGCTCCCATTTGGTAGGTCGGGTAGGCAAAAAAGCTTTAATACAGTTTTAATCTGCTACAAATTAGAATACATTACCTACCTCGAAAATCCAGCTGAATGACATCAAGGTCGGCTATAACCATAGGGGGTTTTGATGCGGTTTTTTCGTAGTCATTGAACCATTCGCACCTGAGTCGCTTCGCCTCGTCCCACACCTGTGATTAAAAAAAATCGTGAGAACACGTTCCGCAAAAAGCTCGTTAATAGTTGCCGACAATTTGGATTGTGAATGAATCAGTTTCGTAATCCCAAACGACAATTAGTAATCGCACAAAGGCTATTTCTTGTCGGTTGACTTTGCTTAACGGTATCTAATAAGTTGATTAGGAGCTTTTCGTTCATTTTGGCTTCACAACGCCCATTTTCGTTCGGATACTCACATACTCACAGGTTTACAGTATTTTTCATATCAAGACAGGAAGAGATTTGTACGCAACTTGGAACCTCAACTGAAAAATCTCAAACTCTCCAGCCAAGTGAGTCGCAATTAGTCCTCCAAGCCCTGTTTAGCAATTTGCAATTCAGCAGGTTTAACCGTTTAATTTAAAGCACCTGTTTAGAATCTGAGCAATTAATCACTGGAGCTTTTCTAAAGGAAAGACAACGAATAATGCAACACTTGGGTAGGCATAGTGTTGCATTCTCCAGCCTTTTGCCCAAGAAACAGGACAAATTGAATCGAATTGATTGATTTTTGGACCCATTTGTGGATTTTCTGACAACAGTTTACATACTCGGTTTTATCAAAACATCTCGGGCCTCTGCCTTGGCTTATTGATGGTAAATACCAGACATTGAAATTCCTAATTGCAAAACTGCTCAAGCGTTGGCTCGCTCTTGAACTGGTAGTAGTTATGTAATCTTTTGCTGGATCTGTTTCCGTAATTAATATGTTTCATTCTGGTCTGAGAATAAGCGCCAAACTTTCCCGGTGCCATCAATCCAAAGCCTGCAAGTTTTCGAGCAAATTACCCACCTACTTACCTCTAAGAGATCCTTGTCATATTGCACAACGACGGTATTTTCGTAAAACTGGCCGTGTAAGTCCGGTTTGGTGCCGCATCTGGCATAGGCGATCCGAAACGAGAAGAAAGTCTGCCCTGTCGAAGGTGGAACGTAGACACATCTAGGAAAGTAAAAACGTGTTCATTTTCCTCTGGAAACTTGGACAAACCCTTTACCTAGGATCTCCATGCTGGCCTTTACTGGACACAATGCCCTCGAATGGTTGGCTGAATGTAAGGTGCACATCCATGTGATCTTTCCCGCACATTACTTCCAGCGACTGAATGGCAGGCATTCCATCAGGTCGATCCAGAGGCCAAAGATCTCCGGCTCCATAAACTACATTCGATATCTGGAAATAAAATCCAGAGCTAGAAAGCAAAGTCATGCTCGATTTGAATAATCAGTCGGAATGAAAGAGATTTTGTCTCTTTCCGTCTAAACTGGCCGCAACAAACAAACCATGAGCCTTACATCGGTTCAAATTCACAGCTATTTTCTCTTCTTCTATTATTCTAATTCTAAATATCAAGAAATATTTTTTTGAAACTACTTGTCCACTAATAGCGGAGAAGTCAGACATTTTGCCTTAGTCAAAGTCCAGATCGTCTGCTTTTGATCCAAATAAGAAAGGAGACCCAATAAATAAGAGTTGGATAAATTCGACCTGTCAATAAATTATTGTAGATAAGTTCTATACTGTTCTGTATTGTTGAGGCGGATTCATTTTCAAAAAAATTAATGAACTTTTAAATGACAAAAGTTATTCGAAATTAAACAAAAATCCAACGTTTGAACGTTTTGAAAGACAAATTTATTTAAAAAATTTAAACATGAATTCACAGATTACGTTAGATCAAAATTAACACCACACAATAGTAAAACACCACATGTTTACGGAGTTCCAAAAATTCATAAAGTTAATATTCCTTTACGACCAATAGTTAGTAGTATAACTTCACCTACACATCCCTTAGCCAAATATCTTTTAAACATTTTAAATCCCCTAATAAATAACACAACTTCCTATAATAAATCCAAACCATATTCTAGTAAGTTTTGATGTTGTTAGTCTATTCACTAACGTTCCTGTTGATAAAACTTTAAATATCATCAAACAAAAATTATAAAATGACACCAATCTTAAAGAACGCACACAACTAAGCATTAACACCATTATTGA